TCTCGTGGGGTTGATCAAGCTAGCTAGAGTTGAACCATGAAGGGGTCACCCAACTAAATACTCATAAATTAGCGAAACCTTTAAACAAAAGTTGAAAGATATTAACGTAAACAAAATACAAAGCGTTTCAATCGAAGACGAAGGATAAATATATTTTTAAAACTTTTAAGATTAATTATTGAAAAAAAATTCATTCTTAAATATTTTTATTAACGGAGCCGAAAAGGAAATAATAAAAAATGAATGTATTTCTTTTAAATTAAGTATTCGTTGAATACGATGGCATTTGAGAGAGGGAGTGAAATTCGAAGCACGAGTTTCGGGGACAAAAACGACAAGAAATTACCAATTTCCAACACATTGGTTTTTGTTTTTATGTTCTTTTTTTTGGTCTTTTCTTTTTGTAGAAGCTTACCGACCTATTGGGGCAGACGTCCGGCACTTTGCATTTCAATCGCTTTCCTCGTCAGCTTTGTCCCATTACGTATGGAGCTTTTAGGAAGAGGTTTCCACTTTCACCTCTTCAACCGATGTAGGATCTCATAATTCACTCCCCTTTAGGGCCTAACGTCTTCACTGACACATCACTCGGTGTCTGCCTCTAATACTATTAACAAGAGCTTAAATCCACCGCTAGCAGATATTGTCTGCTTTGGCCCATTACGTATCGCAGTCAGTCTCACAATTTTAAAACGCATCTGTTGGGAGAGGTTCCCACACCCTTATAAAGAATGTTTCGTTCCCCTCTTCAACCAATGTGGGATCTCACAATCCACCCTCCTTCGGGACCCAGCGTCCTCGTTGCTACACCACCCAGTGTCTGTCTCTAATACCACACCCTTATAAAGAATGCTTCGTTCCTCTCTCCAATCGATGTGGGATCTCACAATCCACTCCCCTTCATAGCCAAGTTTCCTCGTTGGAAAAATGTTTTCGTTCCCCTCTCCAACCAATGTGGGATCTCACAATCCACCCCTCTTTCAGGACCCAGCGTCTTCGCTACCACATCACCCAGTGTCTGGCTCTATACCATACCCTTCTAAAGAATATTTCGTTCCCCTCTCCAACTGATGTGGGATCTCACAATCCACCCTCTTTCAGACCCCAATTTCATCGTTAGCACACCACCCCGTGTCTGGCTTTGATACCATTAATAACAGCCTAAAACCCACCACTAGCAGATATTGTCCTATTTAGCCCGTTACATATCACCATCAACCTCACTGTTTAAAGACACGTATGCTAGAGAGAGGTTTCCACACCCTTATAAAAAATGTTTCGTTCCCTTCTCTAACCGATGTGAGATCTCACAGACCCGTATCACAAGAAAATTTTTAGGGTTATCAAGTGTCGAATCGAAATTCTGAATAATCAAAACTAAACCGAATTATATTAAAACCCTAATTTACATCTAGAAGTGTCAAACTAAGCACTACTATCTAGAAGATTGATTGTCCTATCTTCAAAAGAATCAATACCCAAAACAAGAAACAACATGTTCATTTAAAAGGAGGAGCCCACAGTTCTACCACTTGCAAATTGAGAGTTGCAAAAAACCAAACCAAATCTCATCCAACTTCATCCCCTCTTGGTGTGTTTTCATGTGAGAATCACTTTTCTAACAAGTGGATGACATCAATATTCTTGTCTTTTCTCATATCATCGATACATATAAAACCCGACACAAATCAGATGAACACAAACCATTTTCGTCTCGAAAGATCTCAATATGCCTACGAACCCAATGTCAAGCAATCTCGAGAGCGAAACCTTTCGAGAATTCTTCGAAAATTGGTTGGTCGAGCAAAACCAATACCTGAGCGAACTCATTTCCTTAGCGAAAGCCAACGATGCCGATCCAACAACATGTTCGAACGATGTCGACATGCTAATCAAACGAGTCATGGAGTGTTACGAGCATTACTACAAGGTGAAATCCCATTGGATAGACCAAGATGCATTGGCAATGCTAAAGCCAACATGGATATCATCATTGGAAGACACATTCCTATGGCTAGGAGGATGGCGACCAAGCATAGCTTTTCACTTACTCTACTCAAAATCCGGTCTCCAACTCGAAGGTCGTCTTCCCGAGCTAATCCATGGCCTCTCGACGGGCGATCTAGCCGATCTCTCTTACGAACAAATCATGAAAACCGACACGTTACAAAGGGCGACGATTAAGAAAGAGAGGGAAATAAGTGAAAAGATGGCGAAATATCAAGAGACAATAGCTGATCCATCAATGGTGGAGCTAGCTCATGTGGCGAGTGAGTCCAAAAGGGAAAGGGGAGAGTCATCGGTTGAGTGCATGACAAGAATGGAAGAGCAATTGACTGTGGCTTTGGGAAGAAGAGAAGATGGTTTGAAAGAGATAGTGAAAATGGCTGATGAACTAAGGCTTACAACTTTGAAGGAAATTGTTGGGATATTGACAAAATCACAAACGGTTCATTTTTTCATAGCGGCTGCGGAGTTGCACTTGAGGATTCATGAGTGGGGATTGCAAAGAGATTGTGGACGACGATCTAAGGAACCAAATTGATCCAAAAATGGTTTTGTTTTTGGAAAATAAAATGGTTTGATCTTGAAATAGTAAGGTTGGTATTGGTTTTGTTGTTTGTGTTGTGTTCTTTGTTGTCTCAATTCAATAAGTTCTCTTGTTGTTGGGTATGTAATTGTGTCATATTGCATTACTCATTTTGTTTTTCTAGAGGAATTTGTCAACCATCTCGTCTTTATCTTGACATGCTCATCTGGATCATAACCTACTTTCTTTTTATTATAGTTGAGACACCCACCAATCGTTGCAAGGGATTATTAAGTGGATTTCATGTTGTGATATCTTACATTGGTTAGGGTGGAGAACGAAACACCCTTTATAAGATAAATAGTGGAAACCTTTCTCTAGTAGACGTGTTTTAAAGTCTTGATGGAAATCTCGAAAGGGAAAGCCCAAAAAGGACAATACCCGCTAGCGGTGGACTTGGGCCGTTACAAATGATATTAGAGCCAGACACTGGACGATGTGTCATCGAGGAGGCTGTTCCCCGAAGGGGGTAGGCATGAGGCGGTGTGCCAATAAGGACGTTGGGCCGTAAAGGAGGTGGATTTGGCGGGAGGAAGGGGGGGTCCCACATTGATTGGAGAAAGGAATGAGTGCTAGCGAGGACGCTGAGCCCTAAAGAGGGTGGACTGTGATATCCCACATTGGTTAGGGAGGAGAACGAAACACTCTTTATAAGAGTGTGGACACCTTTGCTAATAGACACAAGCCTTGAGAAGAAGCCAGAAAGGGAAAGTCCAAAGAGAACAATATCTGTTAGTGGTGGGCTTGGGCCGTTACACATGCGCTCGTATTACGCACGTAACAAGGGTGTACTTGATAGTCCCCAGTCGGATTGGATCAAAGCTTCAAGTTCAGGTTGCGAATCGTCCAATCCACAATCGACACGTGTCTCGAACCACTCCTTAGGAAAGTTCTCTTTTTGTTGAAATGCCTACAAGCTATGTTAGATGTAATTATTTGATGAAAGAATATCTCGTACCCCATGACCCTATTTACGTATTAATATTTATGTTTCGATATTTGAATGAACTATGATACATGTACTTTGTTTTATGTTTGACTATGATTGATATGTTAATATCACCATGTTTATGACTTGTGAGACGCAATGATGTACCGCGTTTGGTAAGCATGAATGTAATACTATTTATATGTATGTACGTCTCGTAAGGAATTTATTTCATTATAAGTATGAAAGTATTATTTGCATTATTTTATTGAACCATATTTTTTAATTCGGAATCTCATACATGTTGTATGTCATATGATCATAGATTACTTCTCCAGTATGGTATGTACACACGTGTAACCCATGATATTATTTGTGTTCCTTTCTTTTCTGTTGATTTTCGACAACATGGACGTGCTAACCAGGCCTAGGGGGCACATTAACGAGCCCACCGAGTGGGTTCATGCGAGCATGAACCATATGGAAAGAGGTATTATGCATTCGACCCTACATGGAAGAGAAAGTAAAGCCCAAGGAATAGTCATGAAAAAGTAAGTCCTATCCGTCATGATACATATAGCATGTGAATGCATTTTTTCGGTTTAACAGTGAGATCACTGAGTATTTTTTAAACAAATTCAATGATGATACAATGCTCCACTGCACATGAAGTATTCATTCTATCGGGATGATTGGTTGTTGCATGATAGCTATACGTTTTCCTAAAATAATAATCTATGATCTATATACGATTGATCTTATGTATGCTAGTCAGGTGTGTTATGAGAACGTTCTATACATCATGTTTATGAACCGAACATTTTCTGCAAGATATGTGATTGGTGTATGTGTATGATATTTTCTTTCGAGGATACTATATGTATGAAAATGATATCTACATGGTCGGTGTGTATGAAAGTGATAGTCACTTATGTATGGATATGATGCATACCCGAAAAGACCTAGGGAATATAAAAGCGATACTCACTTAATAAGTTTTGTGTGCATGAAAGTGACGCTCGTGAAGCTAACTAAAACATAAGGCTAGTACTTGCAATAAACCCCACAAACTATAGCCCATAGAGAATCCACGGTGGCTTAGCAAGCTTCGAGCAGCTAAGTTATGAGTCATTGCGATGCGAGGAGTACCCAAATAGAGCTAGATCGAGATGTACTCCAAAGAGCCAAGTTATGAACCGACGAGACACGACAAGTGACCAGATAGTGCTAGAATTTATGAGACCACGAGATGAGGGGTATAGATTCAGTCAGGACCTGCTAAAGTCAATCAAGTACGAGTAGTGTTTAGTCAGAGAGTGCAAAGGCCGGTAGAAGCTCAATTGAGTTGTGAAAGTTAACCGTTATTCCTAGACCGTCAGGTCGGGTTGGGTCGGGCCGAGATGTCGTATTTAGCTAAGTATCGGATGTGATTAAGAGATGTAAAATTTAGTGTAAAATATAAGTATGGATTGAAATCTAAGGAAGAACAAAATTTTAGCAATGGAAAAGATAACAAAGATGGTATGGTGTTGGCAACATCTCGAAAGGCAGTCGATATCGTTGCTAGCAGATACCACTCGCTCGCGCTCTCACGGCAATCGTTTAGCCACAAAAGTGCAGATGCAGAGTAAATCACACGAAGAGGGAGATGGCAGAATTTCCATCACTGTAGCCCCTTACCAATTTCTTCAACGATTGCCTCAATTATTGATTCTTGCAACAGGTCCATCTCTTTTACCTTTTGCTTTTTCTTTGTTTATACTTGCACATCATTCTATGGAATCTCATTTTGTTGTCGTTTCAATGCCGCTTCAACTAATTAGCATGCTCTTGCCGACTTTATTACCTTTTCTGCGTGGTTTTTTATCAGGAGTTTGATGAGCTATCTTCGATAATTGTGGGAATGGGAAAGGGGAACATTCTGTTTTAGTTGTAATGTGAGGAATTCTGGTGATCTAGTGCTGTAAGTCCATAATTATTATTCTTTAGTTCGAGATTTCAAGTTCATGGAGCGAAAAAATTGCTCTGGTGTAGGGATTTTTCTTGTCGACAAGTACTATTATGGCGTTTGGCTACATTAGTGTTTGGGTAAAGATGACGAAAATATATGTTCGTTGAGGCAGTATGTGATGGTCGATTCTTAAACTACTGATCGTATCACTTGTTCAGAATTCGTCAGTTATATCAGGGGAGCAAGATTGTTATGTCTGAATTGGCTGATTGTTGGGCTTATCGAAGTAGAATGATTGAGTAGTCCAAGGACATTACTAGTTTATTTAACTCTTTTGTAACTCCATAACTGATGAAATGAGAAAGGAAATTTTGTTGCAGTGTGTTGATGAAAATGCTGAAGTGAATGGTTGTTCAACAATTGGGAATGATGAAGATTTGGGTGCTCAGTCTCGCCATAGTGTAGGCAAGGAATTTGGGGCAAGTTGTCGTGTGTGTCAATGTACTGAATCGGACAGAAGGGGTGATGCTGCCTTAGGATTTCTTGGCATCACTTCTCCGAAAATGGAAGCAAGAAAAAACGACGGGGATTCTAAGCCCGAGAAGCAAAGTGTAAAAAATGTTAAAAGGGATTCTGGTTCAATTGAGTTCATAGGCCCTAATGGGGAGGTTTTCATTTGCAAAGCTGATATTGAAATGGGTTCATGTCATTATGAAGATGCATTAGTCGAGCTTGGATGTTCTTGTAAGAGTGACCTTGCTCTCGTACATTATGCGTGTGCTCTCAAGTGGTTTGTCAATCATGGATCTACAGTTTGTGAAATCTGTGGATGTGTTGCAGAAAATATTAGAACTGATGACTTTAGAAAGGTTGTGAGTTCTTTGAAGGAATATGAAGCTTTAAGGGAAAGAACTGCTAATGGGGAACCTAATCCTACGCATACTAATACCAGTACTGATATAGATCCAGATGCTGTTGCTGCTGTCCGCAGGCAGCGACTTTGTGAAATCTCGTTGTGGTTTAGTCCTCATAATTATAGTAGCAACAATAATTCTACTGCAGCCTCCCAGGTTGCTTTGGAACATCCAAATATCGTCCCGGAAAATGTTATTCATGCTGAAAATCGTGCAACCAGATGGGCTGTTGAGGGTACTGGAATTCTCCTTGCTACTGGACTGCTTACTGTTACGCTCGCTTGCCTAATAGCTCCTCGTCTGGGGAAGGTAAGTCTTAATAGCTATCTTATATTATAATAATTAATATAGATTATTCTTATAGAAAAAAAAGTTCATTTAGAATTTTCTTATTTCAACATGGGAATTCAGAGTACTGGGAATTACTGAAAAATTAAGCTTCTCAGTAGGCCACACTTGAGTATCATGCCTAATGACACTACATAAGTCGGAAGCTACTGTCCTTGTTTTCTTATTAAAAAAACTAATGCCTTGATCATTTATTAATTTGGCAGTTCTTATTTTGGCGATTTGACCACAAAAATCTTCATTCTGATTAAAAATTTCATCCTCGGCCTCTTTTGAAACACTAAGACTATGGAATCCTAGGCTTGGGACGTTACAAACATATAATGAATGATAATACACTTTTCTTTGATAGGAAACAATTTCATTTGATTGATATGATAAAATTAACAAAAAAAAAACAAAAAAAGCCTATCCATGAATTAAAAGAAACTTGTCTATTGCGCTATAATATAATAAACCGTAATTTCAAGAGGGGATTCAATTTACACAACTAAGAAAAATAATGAAATGTGTTTATGTCGTCCATGTAAGCTTTGGAGCTTCATTAAATTTCATCTCCTTAATGAAGAAAGCAGGAATAATATAAAAAGAAAAAATATGACTTTAGGAGTATTTTTTTCTTCCTTTTCTCTAATGTGATATCCTTTGGGTTTAATTTGATCGTGCTAGACTTTTTCTCCATATCTTTAAAAAAAAAATTCTATTTTGGTGCAGAAAACTGCGAGAAGTGGCCTTCACATTCTTCTTGGAGGAGTTTGTGCGTTAGCCGTGGTTGTTTTCTTCCGCTTTGTGAGTATAATGCATTTTATACGGCCCTGAAGTTGATTTTCTGGCAATGTTTTATTATAGGAAACAATTTTATTCTTTGGTAATGTATAGAGGGTCTCACTCAAAGGTAGCTAGGCAGTATACAAAAAGCTTTCCGATTGGCCATAATTTAAAATGGAAGAAAACGAGAGGAATAAAACTAATGGAATTCTTAAGCCATAAAGAGGTACGGGATTTCTCTCATACGTTGTCCAAGTTACAGCTCGAATATTTAAGATAGTGTTGATTCTTAGCAAAGAAAATCTCCCTGAAAGTAATAAAAGGAGCAGTTTCCCACATATAACATTGTGATGGTTGACAACTTCTGTTGATTCTTGGTTACGAATTTGGTGAATTTTTCATTCATGCAATTTATTGAAAACATTACTGGGCTCCCTGTGTAATTCACATATGCTAGATGTGCAGGGAGGCAAACCATAATTAGCTTACAAGTAACTAGTCTGCCCGGTATATTTCTGCATTTCTATAACTGATGCCTACCAAGGTTGGTTAGGAACAGAGTGAGATGGGGGAATCTATAGGTAGCTGGATGGAGGGAGGGATACAATACCCTACCCTTGGCATAGATTTGATATGCTTTCCTAGGAAGTTCGTCACTGGCTTTTACAGTAAAGACATTTCATAACGTTTCATGGTTCAAGAAATGTCAAAACATTCCCAAAGAGATAGACAGGACAAAAATTTGTTTGGGTTCGCTCTAGCTTTATGTTAGTTAATAGCATCTTTTAAAACTATGATAAAAACCATTTGCAATGATATGGCCAAGGATTATTTTTTGGAATTAGGGAGTAAGTATGTGAACGGTCTGGAAAACAAAGAGGAAACCAGGGAGGTACTTACGCTTTTTATTTCTTAATTTCTTGATAATTAAGTGTCTTTGACCCCACCCAACATCCACTCGATTGGATGAGGACTGATTTACTCACTATAATCCTGCTGAAGGGTACTAGAATAAATGAGGAACTGCTAGAGCCATTTAGTTAGCAAGGTTTTGTTGCGAGTCCTTTCGACCCCGTTCGGAAACCATATTTTCGTTCAAGTTTTTTAAGAGGACGTTTTATTACATTCAGATTTCTCTTTTCTTTTTTTTTTTCATTTTGAACGTTTCTAATTTATGTATAAATTTTGGAAACATCAAATCTAATTTCTTATTTTTTGTTTACTTCTGGAAATATAAACTTCAATGCTCAGCCTTCTGACTTCTATTCCTTCCATTTATGTAGTTTGTGCTTACCAGGATAAAATACAGTCTTGCACGATATTGGGCTATTTTGTTCATCTTTTTGTTCCTGGTGTTGTTCGGCATTTGGGCATCGAGGACACATGGTGCTCGTACGACGTAATTCGGTACATTATGTACATTCTATTTGATCTTTTTTACCATTCTCCACTTTATTAAGGCGATCTCACAAATATAGAATTCTTTAGTACTTAGTTAAGGTACCCATATCATGAAATATATCCTATAGGGTTTTGATTTTATGTGATGTTTTAGGTTGTCTGAGTATGAAGTTGACATTGGGAAAGGTATTAGTTATTCGACAGGATACAAAATACCCTTTACCTCTGTTTCCTTGCATCAGAGCTCATTTTTTATTTGTTAAAAGGATTTTCAATTCTTTAAAAAAAAATTGGTAAATTTTTCTCAGGAAGAAATTCTGGTTGTATATGCAAAAATAAATAAATAAAACAGCCCAGATCCACCCAGTAGATGTTGTCTTCTTTGGGCTTTCCCTTTCTGGCTTCCCTTCAAGGCTTTAAAACGCATCTGATATGAGAAGGTTTCCACACCCTTATAAATGGTGTTCTGTTCTCCTCCCCAACCAACGTGGGATATCACATAAAAACTGAAACATATTCTAACATGAGAATGAAACTACTTCAAGGCTATTAATTAATTTTTGGTTGTTAGTAGCATGATTATCTGCTTTTATTTCGACTTTGTTTTTTAAGAGCGTAGTACTCGGCAAGAGTACCGATATAAAGTAGCTGAAGTTGGTATAAACTTTTTTTTTTTTTGCTCTTCCCTAAATTGAATGAGAAAAAAAAAAAGAATGAAGAGGTGGTGTAATGGTGTGCTGGCGCTCAAGGGAAGTGGATTGTGGGACCCCACATCGATTGGAGAGGGGAACAAAGCATTCCTTATAGGAGTGTGGAAACCTCTGCCTAATAGACACGTTTTGAAACTTTGAGAGGAAGCCCAAGAAGGAAAGCTAAAAAAAGACAATATCTACTAGTGGTATGGACGATTACATTCACAATGGTGGTCATGTTGGTAAACATCACCTCTGTTAGATTTTTAGAGCCAGTTAACTTGATTGTTTAGTGCCCGTATGAGACAAAGGATTGAAGTGAGTCAACATGGTTAGAGGATAAGTCATAGAGGAAATGTTGGATATTATTGTGCTGCTTGCATTTGATGCATTTGATACATTATAGGGATTATTGAATTGAGTCTTAAACCAAAGATAGTGATCAGTCTATCTCACCAACGTGAGTATAGTTTAATTGTTTAAGACATACTATTGATTTAAAGATTGGAGGCTTGAATATCTTCCACACATATCGTTGAATTTTGAATGGTAAATCTACCTCAAAGTGAGTCTACTTTGTAATCGTAGTTACTGGAAGGTGTGATGATCATAACAATGACTATGGTTGATGCACTATGCGGAGTCATACATGACAATGGGTAAGTGGGTGTGTATTTGTCATGTTAAGTTGTGTTCATCTTGTTGAGATACACTCTCGACTCGTGTCAGGTTGAGTTATTTGCTAGACAATTTGACCGAAAAACATTCAAAATTAACTGGGTTTAAGCTTTTTTCTTTTTTGTTTTACTTTTTTTTTTATCTACAGCGGTCTAAATTCAAAAGATACACACCCAAAATGACCTCTCATGAGTGTATGATAAAACTACTCAGATTTAATACCAGTTGGTTGCTTGTTTTCAATGGTAGAGCATTGAACCATCTATCTTAACTAGATAAATGGTTATCGAATCAGACTAAATGATTATCAAATGGCACATTTAGGTGTTTAAGACTAACTAAGGAAGATAAGTCTTTTTTTTTTTTAATATTATATTGAAAAATAGGATGAACTTGAAATTAGCTTATATTTGCATACAACATTTTCATCGACATTGATATTTTTTTTTATAATATATGTACATTAAATTTTCAGAAGATAAAAACATGTAAACGAAAAATAATGAAGTCTTAAGAACCATTGCCTAGAGACTGAACAACCGAACAAAATGAGGAACGTGCTTCTCGTGTGGAACTCGAACTCGATTATAAAATAAACTTATGAATCATTTCTCTAACTTCTTCGATCACAAGCCAAGCTTTATGCCCTCCAATCACTTCCGCTTTCATTTCTCCATCCTTCCAAAGCTAAAAAAAAATAATAATAATTTTGCAAAAATTTCGAACACCTTATTTGTCCCTCTCTCGACCCAAAATGCCAAATGACGTTTCGGGGTACTCAACAAGACTTGAAAATGATAAGGAACTACTCCACCGGAGTCAAATATGCAGAGAATGTTTCACGAGAAAGCACTTCTTGAAAAGCTTTTAACCCGAGAGTTTCATCGAAAAACACATTCAAACGATTTTAAGAACATAAAACCAACACCCGAAGCTGATTTTTCATTAAATGATTTTAAGATTGAAATGACATCAATAATCTAAAATTAAAAAAATAAAATAGATCACCTGAATTGTTGGCATTTTCTGCATAATAAGAAAATATATAAATTAATAACTTAAAAAATGAGAAGGATAGGTAAAAAAATATATATATATATATATATAAAAATACTTACAGAGATGTTTCCACGTTTAACCAGAGATTGAGGGACCTTATTCACATCCACATAGTAAAATTTTACTCTGCAAAAATATTTAATTTTACTGAGAAAAGTTAGTAAATAATTAAAATAATTAAATAAATGAAATGTAAAAAAAAAAAAAATAAATAATAAATGTTACTTGGTAAGATAATCAGCAGCAAGTTTCTCCAATTTAGGCTTCAAGTAGATGCATTTCCTACACCACGTTGCCATCCTATTCCCCATTCATTCCAAATATTCCATTAATTAATTTCAATTTAATTACATAAATAACTAATACACTCTAATTTAATTCCACCAACAAGGGTATATTTGTAATTAGCCAACCCCACCGTTAGCTGATACTATCTTCTTCTGGGTTTCTTCTAAGGCGAACGTTTCACACCCTTATAAAGAGAACGCTTTGTTCCCCTCTCTAACCGAGATTTCACAATCCACTCCCTTTTAGGACCGGTGTCTCCACTGCTAAACTTTTTTTTAAAAAATACTCTTACTATTAGTACCACGTTTCAAAAATATTTTAGTGTAAAATTAATATAAAAAATATTTGAGATTTTTTTTAACATTAAATGATATTATTAAGGGTGTTTTAGTAATTTAGTTAAAAATAATAATAAAAGCTAATTAAGCTAATTGGGGTGAAATGACGATTAAATCCTTTCGAGATAAAAGAAGGAAGAGATACGAACCAGTCGATAAGAACCGGCTGAGACAGTTCCTGGGCGTGAGCCAAAATCCGATCAAGCTGCTCGGAATCCTCGATGGACTCCATCTCCACCATCGCCGGCCGGGACAGATCCGGCCAAAACCCAGCTTCCGGCCCCATTTTCAACTCCCTCCGCCGCAACCTCCGCCGCTCTCCATTTCTCCGACCAAATAAAACAGACCCAAAATCTCTGTTCACAAAACACCGCCTCCCCCCATTGCTCGGAATTTGGTGTTGATTATGATGAGCTTCGCTGTACAGAATCTGAGCAGTGGTCGCAGCCAACACAGACATATCTGTAGATCCTCTCTTCCTCTTGTTCTCTAGGAGGTCATGGCTTCGATCTGTGAAGAGGGGTTTTTTCTTTTACTTTTTTGAGGTTTTTTGGGGTTTGGGATTGAAATGGGAGCGTTTTGGGAAGGGCTTGGCTTATCCATAAGGTGAGAGTTGGGGGCCACACGTGGGAGGAAGGGATGGCATATCCATCCAATCAAATTAATTTTTCTGACTATTTCTTAGTATTATAAATTGAAATAATGTGAAGATTTAATTCTTTTTTTTTTTTTAAATTAATCGAGGATCATATTTCAATCTTTGAATCGAGGTCGCATAGTAGCTTTCGGTTTCATCCGCGAATTCGACCGAACAATAGGAATTTAGGTCGTAAAAGAAAGGTACCGACCCTCCACTGGGGCAGTAGCCCTAGCTTCTGCCTTTGTCAGGGGGTGGTAGCCCCAGTTCTTCGACACAAAAGGAAGGACATGGTGGGAAGAAAGCAGCCCTAAGCCTAGAAGCAAGTTAAGTGGTAAGAAAACCTATATCCATCTGGCATTGGGGATTGTTGTCTCTAGAGGTTTAGGCTTATGTCGGGAACGAGTTATGATAGAATGCGTATTGTTTATCGGATAATTTATTGAATGCTGATTAAGTGTGGAGGATATAGGTTGTTTAAGAGGAGAGAATCGTTGGTTTCTTTTAGTCATTTCTCTTTCGTCAAATCATCCAGAATGGGATCAAAAGGCAAAGTTGGGTTGGAAATTGAGTCGACAGATCATGAACGTGTACGCAAGTTGGAGATACAAATCAAGAAACACAATGGTTGAGACCGAAAGAAAAAAGGAACTAGGGAAGACTACTTACTGACGGTATCTGGTGCTACGTGTCACAACCTCACTAATAAGACAAGTAAGGCGTGACCCTGACAAGGTGATGACCCTCAAGTGGCTCATTTGGCCTCGTGAGGGCCAAGATAGATGAAAGTATCATGACGTGATGGAAAAAGACGGTGCATCATCCAACACACCAAGAAGAGTGTGCGTCGAAGTTAAGTTGAGGCATAAAAAAGGTTGAAGAGAAGGATAAGTAAGGTCCCCGACCATAACCTTAAACGTCGGAGTTTCGATATGAGTTTTTCATATGACTTTAGGGTTAAGTCTGTTTATATGATGAAAAGTCATCAAATTTGGTGTCAATCGAATATCTAACGAATGCTCTATAAGGTCGTATGACTACTTGTTAAAATGATGTCTACTCTAGAAACATTAGAAATGTCTCAAAACGTACTATAGGGGGAGACATGGAGTCAGCTTTCTACACCTTTGGGCCCTGTTACTTAAGTGAGTTACCCTATGACACATACGTTATCACAGTGTAGGCGAGCATTGCGAGACGAGCATCTCAGGAGACTTTCTTTGAAATGGGTCTTTCAAGGACATTTTCGAACATCACGGGTGTGCCGACATTGTACCCCAACTCATGTGTTAGAGGTCGATATACGCACCTGATATCTGATATGGATTCCATAAATGATAAGACATGGACATGTAGCCCAAATGAATGGATGTTCGGGATGTCTCAATGATATAAATGACACATGAGTCCGTTCTCGATGAGCATTGACATAAAAAACGTGTTAATCGAGAACCAAGATGAGAATATGAGATACAACGTTGCATACAAGCGACCTTGGTTCCGAGTAGAGGTAAGGTCGAACCAAGTGACTTGCTCTAGTGTAAAAGCAAGTCAATTAGGTCGCAGACGATTAAACATGCATGCACAAGTGGTGTGTGTGGGCGAACAAGTTTGAATTCCGCACGAGTTGTGTTCGATTAATTAAGATAAATCTCGCTTAAGGTGCGACAAAGTCACAAAGACAGATGAAAAATCATGTAAAAATCATGACGCTACACGGTTGAAAATGTACGATCGTGTCACTACACTTGACGATCGAACGCTCGAGATAATAATATATGGTTTTCAAACGAATATTGGAAATAGTAATAATGAGGGTCCATTATTTGTCCACATTATGGAAGCAATTTCTAGAAGGCTCTAATTTCTCGGATAAAACCCACTTCAACTGCTGGAGCTGCTAGGGTTTATCTTCTTCCTTCTCTAATCTTCTAATCCGTTGAAGCCGCGGCTCTCTCTTCATCTTCAGGTGCTCATCCTTTTCTCATTTCTAATTCGTTATCTGTTTTCTTTCGATTTTTCTCGATTCTTCATTTCTGTGTCCGAGCAATGTGTTGCATTGTTGACATTGAATGTACTTGGATTCACTTGAAATTGAGCATTTCTTTTCGCACCAATAGGATTCCGTTCTAATCATTTTTTGGGTGTTTTTGTGGATAGAACGTGAAATGGCGGCAGCTCAGCTCACAGGATCTCTAATTTCTGCGAGGAACCTGCCTTCTTTCGATGGCCTTCGTCCTTCTGCGGTGAAATTCTCTCCTTCTATCGTTCATATGATAGTGGGGGGTCGGGCCAACAGATCTTACACTGGCTTGGTTGTTAGAGCTGCTACTGTGGTTGCTCCAAAGGTTTCACAACATCTATTCTTCTACACCTTATTATCTTCTCTTTCTTTTCTGTTTCATACGAGGATATGCCACTTATATTTGCAAATTTGAAATGCATTAGCCAATTTTAAGTTTTTTTTTTTTTTTGAACTGTCGTCTGTGAAATATGCTTCTTCACAGTATATTTCTAATTTTTTCTGCATTTTACTTGAATGGCTGCTTCTGCATTCCCCTCTTACTGCTTCCACGCATCTAACTTCCCGTCTCGGCATTTTGTTGTCCATTTTAGTGGTTGATATTTCGTTTTTCATTGTGAGATCCCACGTTGGTTGAAGGAAACATTCTTTTTAAGAGTGTGGAGACCTCTTCCTAACAAACACATTTTAGAGAACACATTTCAGATCCTTGAGGGAAAGCTGAGCAGACACCGGGCAATGTGCCAACGAGGAGGCTGAGCCACGAAGGAAGGGGGTGGACACGAAGCGGTGTGCCAGCAAGGATGCTGGCCCCAAAGGGGGTGGATTAGGGGGCCCACATCGATTGAAAAAGGGAACGAGTGCCAGCGAAGACGCTGGGCACCGAAGGGGGTGGATTGTGAGATCCCACATCAGTTAGGGAGGAGAACAAATCATTCCTTATAAGGGTGCTAGACATGTTCTAAAAACCTTGAGGGGAAGCCTGAAAGGGAAAGCCCAAAGAGACAATATTAGCTAGCGGTGGGCTTGGTTTGTTACAAATGGTTTCAGAGCCGGAGACCGGGTGATGTGCCAGCAAGGACGTTGGGCCCCGAAGGGGTGGATTGGGGGGTCCTGTCGATTGAAGAAGGGAATGAGTGCCCACGAGGACGGGGTGGATTGTGAGATCCCACATTGGTTGGGGAGATTTTTAAGGGTGTGGAAACCTCTTCCTAGCCTACTCTTTTAGAAACCTTGAGAGGAAGCCTAAAAGGGAAAGCCCAAAGTGGACAATATTTGCTAGCGGTGGGCTTAGCCCGTTACACCATCCCTCGGGGCTGATATTTCGTCTTTCATAATCCGGTGTAGTTACATAATTACAATCGTAGCTGCTAGCAGTGTGTATGTATTGTGATGGGTAAGTTTTAATTCAATGAAACCAGTATGGGTGCTTAACCAAACAGCTATAAGTTTCTGGTGGTGTGCATTTCATGTTGAAGATGGTATTCTGAGTCCATCTATAAGAAACTTACTCTGGTTTGTGCATTGTTATGTTTCAGTACACTTCGATCAAGCCATTGGGCGACAGAGTGCTGGTGAAAATAAAGGAAGCTGAAGAGAAGACTGATGGAGGGATTTTACTTCCAACAACGGCTCAGTCCAAACCTCAAGGTGGGGAGGTTGTTGCGGTTGGAGAAGGCAAGTCAATTGGAAATACCAAAGTGGAAAGTAGTGTAAAGGTACGAATTTCTACATGTTTGGAGTGGCGTTTGATCTTCTTATGCTGTTAATTGATTCAATGCTCTTCTGATTCGGTAGACTGGTGCTCAAGTTGTGTACTCCAAGTATGCTGGAACTGAGTTAGAGTTCAATGGTTCAAAGCATCTTATTCTGAAGGAAGATGATATCGTCGGTATTCTAGAAACCGATGATGCGAAAGATCTTCAGCCCCTAAACGACAGGGTCTTGATCAAGGTTTGTCTCCCTTGGATTCTTCTCCTCCATTTGACAACCATTAGGCTTTTCGTTCTTTGTTTTTTGAAAATTATGCTTAATAACGGCTTGTTATCTACTTACAAATGTTTTCAAAATCTAAGGTAAATTTTGGAAGCAAGTAGGGTGAGATCCCACGTTCGGTTGGGTACAACGAAACATTTTTTTATAAGGGTGTGAAAATCTCTCCCTAGTAGACACGTTTTGGGACACGTTTTAAAAACCTTGAAGGGAAGCTCGAAAGGGAAAGCCCAAAGGGCTTGGGGCCGTTATAAATAGTTTTAAAAAACTTGTTTTTGTTTTTCATTCTGAGAGATAACTTGGGCTTTAGACATAAACAAACACAATTTTCAAAAACCCAATGGTTATCATATGGGGCCTTCTTTCTTGGGTTGATCCCATAAGACCAGATAGTCAGAACATTCAATTGTGCATGTTTTAGAAGCTTGGCGCTGGCCTATCTAGAAAATCTTTCTGACATAATGCCATTGACATGTTCTTATCATATTACAATTGTTTTTCATCCTTCTCCTAATCTAAGAACGAAAAAGTTCTATTGATTTGGAGCATGGGAGGCATATAATGAAGCAGCTAATCAAAGAAACATGAATTATAACAGAAATGTAATACTTGTTCTTAAATTATATCTCAGGTGGCTGCGGCTGAGGAAAAAACAGCAGGAGGTTTGCTGCTGACAGAGGCATCCAAAGAGAAACCGTCGATCGGAACGGTCAGTAAGCGTGTGAATCACACCCTTCGATTCATTAGAGATTCATATCAGCTGTGATTGACTTGAAAATTATGGTTTACTCAGGTGATAGCAGTTGGCCCTGGTCATCTGGACGAGGAGGGCAACAAGAAACCGCTTTCGATTGCAGCGGGAAATAACGTGATGTACTCGAAGTATGCTGGGAACGAGTTCAAGGGCAAAGATGGATCTGATTTCATCGCTTTGAGGGCTTCAGACGTGATTGCAGTTCTATCTTAGTTGTATTTAGTCTGTGATTGGTTATATAAAACACATGTTTTTTTGTGGTTTTGCTTCGCTTAAAGAGAGGGATTTTGAAGAAGGCAACTGAGATTATTTGAGTAATAACAGGAAATTCGTTGATCTTGTTCCATTTTGCTGCGGCCTTGTGGTTTAGTTCCATGGCTTCCTAAACAGGACGTTTCGTGGTTTCGTTCCATGGCTTCCTAAACAGGACGTTTTGTGGTTTCGTTCCATGGCTTCCTAAACAGGACGTTTTGTGGTTTTGTCCAATGGCTTCCTAAACAAGATGTTTTGTGGTTTCGTTCCATAGCTTACTGAATAGGACGTTTCGTGGTTTCGTTCCATGGCTTCCTAAACAGGATGTTTCATGGTTTCGTTCCATGGCTTCCTAAACAGGACGTTTTGTGGTTTTGTTCCATTACATGAAAAATGATTAATAGTATTTTAGATGAGATTAATGTCATTTCAATCGATCTCAAAGTTATGATTTTCATAACTTCAAATCATAATTTGGAAATCTCATATCATAGTCAATCTCCATAAATGTTCGATACAGTAAACTATAATAGAAGACTAAATATCTTCAACCGTTATTACAATGTGTTTGATAGTTTTTCTTTTTTATAAAGTGACATTTCAAGTGGATAGTAGCTAGATTGTGACGTCTTCATCCAATGATGTTTAATAACAATGTTATAGGCAAATTCTTCCTCTAAACTTGCTCGAAATTGTATTGATTTTGAACTAGAGATCGTAAATTACCAGATACAGAAACAACTATTAAACAACTATTATACTTAAAAGAGTTAAAAGGAAAGACTTTCCACTTCCTTTCCTCAACACATGACAAGTTCAAAGCTTTGAATGTTCAATATCTTGTGATGAAAGGCTTATAAACCTTAAGATCAAGCACAACACCAATAAGAGAGCCCACACCAGCAGCAATGGATATCAAAAGGCATCCCATGCTCATAGTTTGAACACATACCCACTTCACACTCCATTTAGCTATCTTCTTCTGAACAATATACATCTGGACCGGAAAGTAGACCGTCAATGGCCAGAATTGGAAGGCCCCCATAATCCCGACGACGTCGTTAAAGAACGGGAGCAACATGGCGATGACGGTGGTGAAGCACACGAAAAGGGTTCGCCATACAAGTCGAAAGAAGTTGATATTGTACGAGCGAGAGGATGAGAGGGGGAGCTTGTAATGTTTGGTGATGAAGGCGGAGTCGGGCCATGTTTGAGCTGCCATCTTCTCGACAAAGGCAAAGACGGGCTGGCAGAAGACTTGGTAGGCGCCGACGAGGTGGACAACGATGGCGACGTTGGCGATGTCGAGGAGCCAATACGGGTTGTAGAAGCCAAAGCCTGTCAAGAGGTTGCCTGGGGCGTTGTTGCCAAAGGCTGCATAGCCCATGCATCCACAAAGTAGGTAGAAGATTGTGGTCACTGCAATGCTGAATCCTGAGGCCTTCTTCATTGTCTTTGCTTCTGATGGAGGGCATCTGATTGTGTCCTGTGTTCGATATAATCTCGATTATGTTAAATCAAATCCCCGTCTTAGTTAAAAGTGCTTCCGTGTTTGATATCGACACAAAGAATTAGCAACCGTCAACTAAGAACTAAGAATCTTCATGAGTCGGGTTGAAATAATTTTTCAATCCTACCCAATTGTCCGGTTGGCTCTTATTAAATAATGAACTCAATTCAATCAACCACCAAATATTTGGGTGAGTTGGTTCGGCTAATTTAGGGAATGATCATAGGTTTATAATCAAGGAATACTGTCTCCATTGATATGACGCCTCTTGGGAAAGCCCAAAGCAAAACCATGAGAGCTTATACTCAAAGTGGACAATATCATACCATTGTGAAGAGTAGTGCTCATCTAACATCGTATCAAAGTCATGCCCTACACTTAGTCATGTCAATAGAATCCTCAAACATCGAACAAAAGACTCCAAAAGAAAAAGGAGTTGAGGCTCTTCGAAGGCATAGTAAAAAATGACTAAGACTCCAAAAGAAAGAGAGTCGAGCCTCGATTAAGGGGAGGTGTTGGATGAAAGTCTCATGTCGGTTAATTTAGGAAATGATCATGGAAATGAACAATAAAGTCGGGTTAGTTCTAGTCAACCCTAACTAATGCAACTCCCAAAGTTTTAATGTTTTTGAACCCAACCCAGATAAGTCCTTGACACAATCGTACCTTGTTTAGGAGTAGACTTTACGATTATGCAGCACTCACTTCTCAACCGCAAGTGAGCTAAGTCAATTTTGTATTAGTGTCGCCAACAATCGGGCAACGTATACTCGAGTCTCTAGCTTCAATTTTAGAAGAAAGTTTTAAAAAATGGGACAGAAATGCTCTAAAAGATACTTAGAAACCAAGATTCCAATTTAAAACAGTATCGATCAACCCGTTGACGGGATTTTTGTGATTTGATTAAAGCAAAACAAAACTTTAATTAATCTAATCCAATTAAAAGTGTCCATGTGGACAGAATAAGCTTTTTGAAGTTTCAAATATATATTTTTTTAACGGTAAAAATATTCGATTATTTTTTTGTTTATAGAATAAAGGAAAAAAAAAATAATAAATTAATTCTTACATTATTCGGGAATATTATGTACTTATTTTATTTTACTTCTTGCTCACTAACTTTTGTATTTATTCCACTTTATTTTATAATTTTGATTTTTCATTTAAAATCTTTTTTTTTTTTTGGAATTATTTATAATTAATTTTAAAAAATAATATTAATTTAACTAGAAAAGGAAAAAAACTTTTTAAAAATGGTAAAAGTGAGGGGAATAAAATAAAAAAAAATAAAAAAAATAAAAAAATAAAAAAAAATAAAAAAAATACCTGAATTTCAATAAGGATAACTGAAAAAGAATAGGCAAAAGCAATATCTCCAAGTGCTTGAAAAGTTCTCCAAATCTTTTGGGTTTGAGTCACTGTTCCCACACTCATGCCACTCACTGTTCCTTTGAAACTCCCATTTTCTGCACATCAAATTAATATTTTAATTAATTAATTAATTATTTATTTATTTATTTATTTATTTATTTGTAAAGTTCTCGACTAATAACTTCAGAGTCGATATTTTTGGATAATTCATCTCTAGACAGCTATCAAATAAAACCGACCTTTTAAAGTATTTTTTTTAATACTAAGATTGAAAATTATTTTTAAGTTCTATTTTATTTAAAATTCATTTGAAATACTTATTTTAAAATTTTATTAATTATAAATGTATTTTTTTCTTTACTTTTAAAAGATTTTTTATTAATGAGTCGATATTTTTGGATAATTCTTCTCTAAACATCTATCGAATAAAATCGACTTTTTAAAGTTTTTTTTTTTTTATATTAAGATTGAAAATTATTTTTGAAATGAAAAATTATATTAAGTACATTATAAATTCTTATTTTAAAATTTTGGAAATAAATATATTTATAATTTTATTAATTATAAACGTATTTTTTCTTTACTTTTAAATTTATTTTAAAGTGATTATTATTTAATTCTACATTGAAAAGTTATATTAAATACACTCTAAATTATTAATTATTTTTTAAAACATTCTCGTAGAAAAATTGATTTTTTTTTTTTTAAAAAAATTAATACACATTTATTTTTAAAATTATCCTAAACCCATTAGAAAAAAAATATATTTTAAATATAAAATTGTACACTCTTTTTTAAACAAATACCTTTATTCTCCCAAACCCTTTTTTGAGCTGTAAATCTAAACATCGATAAGCTACGAGCTATGAACGATTCTTCGTGACGAACTCCCAAACATTTCTTTAATCATTTTGAAACGAATCGAAAGAATAAATAAAGGGATGGTTAGGTTAAAACCTGCAACTTTGGCAATCCCAAGAGCAAGGCCAATGGTTGAATATGTAAACGACATGATAGCAGCCACTGTGGAGAGCCACCAAATTTGGTCAAAATCTGGAATTTGAGACAAAATTATCTCCACAACTCCAAATGATACCATAAATGGATTGCTTGACATACGACATGGATTCTTTCCCCCACTTTTGTGGAAGCAATTTGATCGTTTAACGGCCCTGCCAAACACGAACCACACGAACAATAAGCTTTTGAATTAAAACCCGAAAATCGAAAACTGAAAGTTATAAACTATATTCGAGAAAGTTTGTGTTTTGTGCTCACATCATGCTGATCGACGACGCGATTGTATACCCGATTGCGACTCCAATCAAGTCCATGTATTGTATTACTCCACATACTATTGTTTGACCTCTGCCTGGAACAAATCTCGATATTATTTAAGGAACTGGAGATGGATTGATCAATTTTTTTGGTTTGTTTGTGTTACTTTGCATACCTAGGAAGGAGCGGACTGCATGCATGTAAGTGTAGTTTCTCTTGGCGTTAACTGAGTCATTGGAGCGATAGCAATCAGTGAGCAAACAAGAGGTATAGTAACTGATGAAGGCAAATAGGAGCATCACAATGGGACCGGCAATCCATCCGAGCTGAGCGATTGCCCATGCTAACGATAACACACCCGAACCGATTACGGCTGTGATTATGTGAGCACTTGCCGTCCAAAACGTACCTAAACATTTAAGAAGAAGCGAATAGATTAATTGAATTATGTATTGTAACGAACAGAAGGTGAAGGAGATGAGGAGATCAATTACCAGTCCGCTTGGGGCGACCATCATCATCGGAGCTCGGGGAGTCGTTGATCGGGAGCATGGCCATGACAACGGAGTAGGGTTGGAAAGGGTGAGGGGAAAGGGAGAAAGGTGATGGAGCTAGGGGGAGGAGAGGTATCTCTTTAAATAAAGTTTCAAAAAACATAATTAATTAAAAATAATAATAAAATTAAAGTATAAAAAAAGGTTAATTAAAAAATGCACAAATATATATATATATATATACACGTTTTGAGAAGGGAAGACCCTTGGGGATTTTCAATCCTTCAATTATTATCTAAGAATTTGCAAGTCAACCAGTCAAAATTTTTCTCCTTTTAGAATTGGGTCGGAAAATTAGGTTTCATCGTTATCGTCACAAACGGGAAAAATCTTATCTTAAATGTAAAAGTATTCGATATTTGAATTTGACGAGATCGTCAT